ACCTTAATCCCATAGAAAATCTGTGGAGGCAGCTGAAGCTTCCAGAGGCCAAGCATCAGCCTCAACACCTGAAGGGTTTGGAGAGGGTCTTCAGAGAGGAGTGGACCACAATCCTTCCTGAGATGTGCACAAACCTGGAGACCAGCTACAAGAAGCGTCTGACCTCTGTGTGACCTCTGTGTGTCCAACTAGGGTTTCTCCACCAAGTACTAACACATGTTCTGCAAGGGGATCAAATACTTATTTCCCACAGTTAAATGCAAATCTATTTTAATCTTTTATATAATGTCTATTTCTGGATTTTCTTTCTGATATTTTACTCTCACTGTTAAAATAAACCTACCATTAAAATTATAGACCGTTAATTTCGTTGCAAGTGGGCAAATTTACAAAATCCGCAAGGGATCAAATACTTATTTCCTTCACTGGATATTTCTTTGTCTATGGCATTGTGCATATGCATAGTCAGTCTTGACGAACACTTTAATATTAGAGTTTCAGGTGGCCTGTACTACTAAGTCAGTTGAACAGACCCTGGATATCTCTGAGTTATCTGGCTTAACTAACCCTAACAATCGTGATGTCGTGAAGCGGTCTTACGACTTTAACTTAATTTGAGTGTTTGCCAACTTACAGTAATGTGTTGTTTATAATGCATTTTGTAGAATATAAGATACAAATATCTAAATAAATATTAGGCTCATTTTCATATATTTAAAATAGTGGTGGTTTATTGTAGTCTTTTAACTAAGCATAATCTAATGTGCATATTTTATTTGTTTTGATCTTTTACATGTTCTCTTATGCCCCGCACCTCCCCTGCATGTGTGTGCTTTTGTTTATTCATATCTTAAAAAACACTCACTGCATACTTAGAAGTATGCTACCTGTGAAATAACACTTCTGCAGACAGTATGCACTGTAATTGCACGACTCCACAGGAAGCTGACAGATAAGTGAATATTTGATTTAATATGATGTGATATGATGTAATATAAATGATGAGGGTGACACGTCGTGGTTGTGCACTTATAGTGTAGCCAATGTTAAGTAGTGAACCAGCGAGTTAACCCTGAAGTCACCTCGCTAACCCCAAATCCTGCTTCTAGGGCTGTGGTCGGTCCTCTGCAGAACCAATCTGTCCATCAATCACATAGTGTATTCAAACGCAGATAAAGGGGGAAAAGCCAATGTAGTTGTCAAAAATAATGTCTCCAAATTTCTTATTTTGTATAACTCAGTTTGAATCAACAGATTCAGATCAAATTTCCAAAGACCTTAGAGGTCCTCAGATCCTCAGTGAACAACAGCCAGGCGTTCCCATGGTTACTGACTCATGGTTCAGCAGCCCTTTAACCTGAGGAACAGCCGGGTGCAAAGACATTTAATTCTGAAGATAATCAATGACACTCACTCCTACTCACTCCGGATGGGTGATCCCTGCTGTCTCAGTGTCCCTGCTGTCTCAGTGTCCCTGCTGTCTCAGTGTCCCTGCTGTCTCAGTGTCCCTGCTGTCTCAGTGTCCCTGCTGTCTCAGTGTCTCAGTGTCCCTGCTGTCTCAGTGTCCCTGCTGTCTCAGTGTCCCTGCTGTCTCAGTGTCTCAGTGTCCCTGCTGTCTCAGTGTCCCTGCTGTCTCAGTGTCTCAGTGTCCCTGCTGTCTCAGTGTCTCAGTGTCCCTGCTGTCTCAGTGTCTCAGTGTCCCTGCTGTCTCAGTGTCCCTGCTGTCTCAGTGTCTCAGTGTCCCTGCTGTCTCAGTGTCCCTGCTGTCTCAGTGTCTCAGTGTCCCTGCTGTCTCAGTGTCTCAGTGTCCCTGCTGTCCTCAGTGTCTCAGTGTCCCTGCTGTCTCAGTGTCTCAGTGTCATCAGTGTCCCTGCTGTCTCAGTGTCCCTGCTGTCCTCAGTGTCTCTGTCCTAGTGTCTCAGTGTCCTGCTGTCTCAGTGTCCCTGCTGTCTCAGTGTCTCCGTGTCTCAGTGTCTCAGTGTCTCAGTGTCCCTGCTGTCTCAGTGTCCCTGCTGTCTCAGTGTCCCTGCTGTCTCAGTGTCCCTGCTGTCTCAGTGTCCCTGCTGTCTCAGTGTCCCTGCTGTCTCAGTGTCTCAGTGTCCCTGCTGTCTCAGTGTCTCAGTGTCTCAGTGTCCCTGCTGTCTCAGTGTCCCTGCTGTCTCAGTGTCTCAGTGTCTCAGTGTCCCTGCTGTCTCAGTGTCCCTGCTGTCTCAGTGTCTCAGTGTCCCTGCTGTCTCAGTGTCCCTGCTGTCTCAGTGTCCCTGCTGTCTCAGTGTCTCAGTGTCTCAGTGTCCCTGCTGTCTCAGTGTCCCTGCTGTCTCAGTGTCTCAGTGTCCCTGCTGTCTCAGTGTCTCAGTGTCTCAGTGTCCCTGCTGTCTCAGTGTCCCTGCTGTCTCAGTGTCCCTGCTGTCTCAGTGTCTCAGTGTCCCTGCTGTCTCAGTGTCCCTGCTGTCTCAGTGTCCCTGCTGTCTCAGTGTCCCTGCTGTCTCAGTGTCTCAGTGTCTCAGTGTCCCTGCTGTCTCAGTGTCCCTGCTGTCTCAGTGTCTCAGTGTCCCTGCTGTCTCAGTGTCCCTGCTGTCTCAGTGTCTCAGTGTCCCTGCTGTCTCAGTGTCTCAGTGTCCCTGCTGTCTCAGTGTCCCTGCTGTCTCAGTGTCTCAGTGTCCCTGCTGTCTCAGTGTCCCTGCTGTCTCAGTGTCCCTGCTGTCTCAGTGTCCCTGCTGTCTCAGTGTCTCAGTGTCCCTGCTGTCTCAGTGTCCCTGCTGTCTCAGTGTCCCTGCTGTCTCAGTGTCCCTGCTGTCTCAGTGTCTCAGTGTCTCAGTGTCCCTGCTGTCTCAGTGTCCCTGCTGTCTCAGTGTCTGTGTCCCTGCTGTCTCAGTGTCCCTGCTGTCTCAGTGTCCCTGCTGTCTCAGTGTCTCAGTGTCCCTGCTGTCTCAGTGTCCCTGCTGTCTCAGTGTCCCTGCTGTCTCAGTGTCCCTGCTGTGTCATGCCCCTTTCGCACCAACGCGGTTCCAGGGCCGGTTCGGAGCTAGAGCCTGATAAGCACCGTTTTTTCCTGTTCACACCGCAGCGGAGCCAGCTCTTTTCCCCGAAAAGCGGTTCTTACCAAGCTCCAAAAAATTGTCGGTCTAGAAGCAAGAACCGCATACGTCACGCTTACGTCGGAGGCGGGGGCAAGGGTAGGGGCGGGATCAACCTTTATAAAGTCAGGCAACACTAACCAGGCTTCGTGTGATTCTGTTTATTTGTACCTTACTTTGACCATCCGTTCGCTGTCATTGATCATTGTGGAGAGCAGGCAGACGTTTTGTTTGTTATTATAGCAGCTATCAGATGGAATCAATACATGGGCTGCACAGGTTGTCAACGGGGGGCTGAAAAGAAGAAGAACCGGTTCCGAACCAGAAGAGCGCAAGCACGGAGCTAGAACGGGAAACGCGTTGGTGTGAAAGGGGCGCCGGCTGCTGGAGTGATGGGAGTGGCTCGGCCGGAGACCAGACAGCTGAGCAGAATCAGGTAATTAGGCTCTCAGTATTAATGCTGCTAACCTGGTTCTGCTCTCTCGCTTGCAGTAGGCTGGATCCTGAGAGAAGGATCCACGGACCCCGAGCAGCCTCAGGACCTAGCGGGGCTAATTATAAATTGTTGTTTTTGTGAACTTCCCCCTCCGTGGCAATAAACTGTTTTATTTTTCACAAACCACCTTCTCCTTCGTCCATTTTTAACCCTAGTGTGAGCCAGAATGCTCACAGTTATATATAATGATATCACACTTGTATTCTGTAAGAGAGCTTTATTCTTTGGATACTTTAACCATTGTGTTCTTAGTATTTTTACTTTTTCTAAGAAACATAATCCAGGCTGTATTCATGTGATGAGTCATTGTACTGAGACCATTAATGGAAACTTGACCTGGGTGTCTAAAATGAGCTGCAGCACTCATGAAACGTGAGCCACAAACAGACTGAGGCTGTCAGAGGACAGAGGACACACTGATGCTCAGGAGCTATCTGAGACGTGTCCCAACCGTCAAACTGTCAACCAATCGCACAAAAATGCAATTCATGCAGAAATCTATAAATGTTTTGATATTCAATGGTAGCAATTACTTTCTCTGGTATGTCTTGGTGTCATCATTTGGTATTTGAGGGCATCTTTGACCATTTTAATGAACTCCAAAGTGGTTCAAAATAACGTTACATTTGGCACCAAATTTGTATAACAATGTATCGGTGCAAAAAAACATTGTATGAGACATCAGGGTTTCCCACACATAGACTTTACTTGGGCGGGCCGCCCAGGTATATTAACGGCCGCCAAAATATATTTCGCGACCCATTTAGGTTTTTTTTTTTTTCTTTTTTATCCGTCCGCGAGCACGACGCCATCTGCGATCGATTAACTATCGATCGCAGATGGACAATGATCCCTCGCTCTACGCCTCCTGAACAACAACATGCATGCCGTGTGGAGAATTCTGCGGTGAGGACAGCTTTGTTTACATTCGGACCCCAAGGTTTTGTTCACACACCCCCCCCTCGTGCCCGGCTACCACCACAAGTATATGTCAGATCTGTGGGAAACACTGGACATAATAAAGGTCATTATATACTTCCATCAAACTGTTATACACAAATGTTAATATACACTGCCGTCGTCTACTACTGCTAACATTTTAGTTTGAGATATACCCAAGACCCCTTTCGCAAGACGAAAGCATGGACACAGCGTAAGAGCGCCACCCCCGGCGTTTTTATCCGACAAAATATGAATTATCTCTCAAGTCTATTTAAATATGACTGATTTACGAATAATGAACTACTAAACAATATGTAGCCTAATAGCTTGTTTTCTGGTTTGTCAGATTTTGTAAATAAGTACAGTACTTGAGTAGATGTAATGTTGCTTTCCAACACTGTACGAGGATAAAAAAAATATTCTGCTTGCCCAAGACCAGCGTCACGTTTGAGAGTGGCTCCACGGTAACAAAAAGGCAGCCCCACCTGAGTCCTGGGAGTTGAGCACCTCCAGGGCGTGCATCATGGCACTGGCAAAGACATTGGCGTCCTCCTTGCTGCCAAAGTTGAGGCCATAGACCTGCCGGGCGTCTCTCCACTGGTGGAAGGTCTGTGTGGCCTGATTGTACTTCAGCCCCTTGGGAATGGCACAGTTTATCACCACCTGGAGAAAACCAGCAGGGAGCCAGGGTGAAAGGGAGGAGAAAAGTGGAAACATCCTTTAGACTAGAAATAGTCCATGAACACAATCAGCAGCTTCATTGAAGGAGCCACCAAGAACAATGCTTTGTATGCTGTGTATGTTTCCTAATGTGACAGAAGTTGGACGACATGTTGAAAGGCTGACATTTTTGGCAAAACAAATGCAGACCTGAAAACAAGAGTTGTCCACTCCATCAACCACTCTTTTTCTCCATCTTGATGCAACTCTCACCTCCCTGGGATTGTCCTCACACAAAGTGACACTGGCATGGGGCTAAAAGTATTTTTACCCTGAGCAGAAACTAAAGAGTTGTTGAGACAACATTTAGGCCTGCACAAGAACAGATCCTCTCAACACACACCATTTAGAATGCATTTTGAGAATGAAAGAGGGAAATGATGTAAGAAAATGTTCATCTGCTATAGCTAAAATCCCCTAAAATAATTTGTAATGTCGATTAATCCCATAATCACTCATGCCTTATTTAGGGACTGAAACCTGCAGGGAGCCGGTGGTGCTAGGCATAACTATGAGGGGCCGTACAGGCCGTAATTCATACTGGTCCTCTCACACACATATATTCTCCTTTTACATACATACATTTTCACTCTCACACACATATATATTTACACTCACACATTCATACATTTAGCTCTCATATTATCATATTTAAATGCACACATTCATACATTGTCACTCACATATTTATACATTTTGCTCTCATGCACATTCATTCAATGTTTACATTTAACATTATAAATAATATATGCATGTCTGAAGACAATATATGTATGCAAGAGAAGAATACATGTATGTGGGAGAAAGTATAGTGGAAACGGAAGGAGTATAGTTGAAACGGAAGGCAGGTCATTATCGCGCTGTGATTGGCTCAGAAGGTCGAGCGGGGCGGGCTCATGTTCAGAACTTCTGATTCAAATCAACATGATGGAGGGAGATGAATCTGTGTATCTACGGACCATTTGTTTTTCTTTATTAAACAAGTAAACGGAAGAGCGTCTGAGAGGCGTTTTTGCTTTTAGTTTTTTACCTTACTAAATGGTCTAATGGTCAGTGGAGCGAGGTGCGGGGCAAAACTCACGGATGTGATTTCAAAACAAAACTCCGCCGTCTCTCCAGTTTGTTTTTTCAAATCAGCAGCTCTTCATTTTTTTTCCTGCTATATTTGACGAGTGATACAAATATTTTTTACCACAAGTTCTTAATAAAACTGACACTGTTGGACTCGGTACTTTGACTGCTACCAGAAAGGAACGAACTAGCGGCTGAGAAATAATCATATATTAAAAGACAGCAGCATCATAAGAGGCCAACCAGCAGTGGCGGACTGGCCATCGGGACGTTTGGGACGAATCCCGATGGGCCAGTACCGAAGTGGGCCGGTCGGACAATTTACTAGCACCCCGAACCCCCCGCCCGGATCATCACCCGCACCAAATCCTCTGACCACATCATCCCAATCCTCATCCATCTGCATTGGCTACCTTTTTATCGAACCATCTCCGTTTCTAACTTTCAATATCTCTCTCTCTCTCTCAGAGTATTCTGATTATGTAACGCCGTTACATGTATTCCGTTACAACCCAACCCTGATTATACGCAGGCCTACTATGGAGGGGACTTTGACAGAGGATTACTCAGTAAGAGTACTTCATATTATTTCTGGTAGCAGTCAAAGTACCGAGTCCAACAGTGTCAGTTTTATTAAGAACTTGTGGTAAAAAATATTTGTATCACTCGTCAAAGAAAAAAAAATGACGAGCTGCTGATTTGAAAAAACAAACTCGAGAGACGGCGGAGTTTTGTTTTGAAATCACATCCGTGAGTTTTGCCCCGCACCTCGCTCCACTGACCATTAGACCATTTAGTAAGGTCAAAAACTAAAAGCAAAAACGCCTCTCAGACGCTCTTCCGTTTACTTGTTTAATAAAGAAAAACAAATGGTCCGTAGATACACAGATTCATCTCCCTCCATCATGTTGATTTGAATCAGAAGTTCTGAACATGAGCCCGCCAATGTAAACATTGAATGAATGTGCACGAGAGCAAAATGTATAAATATGTGAGTGACAATGTATGAATGTGTGCATTTAAATATGATAATATGAGAGCTAAATGTATGAATGTGCGAGTGTAAATATATATGTATATGAGAGTGAAAATGTATGTATGTAAAAGGAGAATGTATGTGTGTAAGAGTGAAAATGTATGTATGTAAAAGGAGAATGTATGTGTGTGAGAGGACCAGTATGAATTACGGCCTATACGGCCCCTGATACATAACATGTCTGATTCCTTAACAGGGTTCCTGCAGGTTTCGCCAACTCAAATTTAAGACTTTTTAAGACCTTTTTAAGACCACTTTGAATAGAATTTAAGACCTATTTCACGGCAAGAAAGTATGAAGGAAAATTGCTATGAAAGAAGAAATACGTCCCATAATTACTTACAAATCAAATGTATTCATGTTCAACATAAGAACAATGACTGAACATAACAGCATAACAGTACAGAACTGTGTTAGCCAAAAAGTGTGTATGTGTCTCTGTGTGTGCTTGTGTGTGTGTGTGTGTGTTAGGGCTGTGCAATTAATCGTATTTTAATCGCAATTACGATTTTGGCCTGCCACAATTACAAAAACAACATAATCGAAAAAAACTATTATTTAGCTTTGCTAGGTTGTGACAGTGCACTACAACATATTTGATCTAATTAATTTTAGTCTAATTTATTTTTATTTATCATATTTATATATGTTTAGTAGCTTGTGGAAGTGCGCTCCAAAATATTTGTTGATCTTGTTTATTGGTATTTATTATTTTGATATTATTTATTTAAATGTATCATTTATTTAATTTATTTTTGTATTGGTTTTTCAGTTGAATTATACGTTCAGGGTAATCAACAGTTAACAAGATACTGTTCAAATTATTATTTGTTTTAAAGTTCAATAAATGGATGTTTTCAAAGTCAATGAATAATCTTATTTAATAATCGTGATATCAATTATTGACCAAAATAATCGTGATTATGATTTTTGCCATAATCGAGCAGCCCTAGTGTGTGTGTGTGTGAGAGAGAGAGAGAGAGAGAGAGAGAGAGAGAGAGAGAGAGAGAGAGAGAGAGAGAGAGAGAGAGAATGAATCGTTGCTGTTGTAGGATTGGTGTTTAGCTACGGTATTTAGCGTCTACAGCACCTCCGCTTTTAGGGTTGACGTAGACACAAACGTCGCCCGGAGGTCCCCCAGTGTTGTTGCGGGAGCTGCTGCACTAGCTAACGCTGCACTAGCTAACGCTACATTAGCAAAACAAACGCTAATGTATTTAGCAAAAGGTGCGGGCTTCAAACACGTTCCCCTCCACTGATTTCAACCAAGCACTAAATTCGATGTTTTCCAACCAAATACGGTTGAACTTACACTTCCCCATATTTATTTGTAAGTAGATTTGAAGATACATGAGTTTCTGACTGCCGCTAGCTGAAGCTTGGTTGCTAGGTTACTAGCTGGGTGTTCTCCAATAAGGGGCCGGGGGAAACAAAGTTAGTGATTACTGGTTCCATGTTGATTTATTTCAATACAAATTGTTGGGGGGAACTGAAAGGCTCTACCGTACAGGTTACTTTGCAGCCCGGACATTTCCGCCAAAACGCTTTTTAGACGCGATCGCAACACAGAAGTACCTTTCAAATCCCATCATTTTTAAGACCTTCTAAATCATATTTAAGACCTTTCTTATTTTTTTGGTCATATTTAAGACCTTTTTAAGGCCTTAAATTCAGATTATCAAATTTAAGACTTTTTAAGACCCCGCGGGAACCCTGTTAATGTGTAACTGAAATTAAGAGATGAATTATGCTAGTGGAGCTAGGTGCGCCGCATTTGCACACACACACACACACACACACACACACACACACACACACACACACACACACACACACACACACACACACACACACACACACACACACACACACACACACACACACACACACACACACACACACACACACACACACACACACACACACACACCTGGTGGTCTTGGATCTTGCGGCCCACCACCCTGAAGGCGTTGTTCCCGGTGTGATGGTAGATGTGGACCCTGCTGAATCCAGTGGACCCCCCCGCTGGGACCCACTTCTTGTTTCCGTCGTCGTACACCATGACAGCGGCTCGCGCCTGGCAGATACTCTGTTCACTGCAGCGAGACAAAGACAGGGAGTTATTGAACAAGGCATCAGATGGTCAAACATGTGCTGGTTTACTCGCATGCTTTCCTTTTTTTGTGTTGTTTCTCCCCTTTAGACTCAGACTGCTGGACTTCAGTCTGAATGACTTCAGTCTGAATGACTTCAGACTGCTGGACTTCAGTCTGAATGACTTCAGCCACAAAAGCCTGAAGGATGCTGAACTGTGACTACAGGGGGGTGACAGAGCTCAGCCATAACTACAGCTGTAACTGAAAATACACAGTGGTCAGTGCGACCCTGAAACACAAAAGACACACTGCTAAATGAATATTGTACTGCACAGGCCACACTTGCACATTGTGATTAAATGTAACAAATACACAGTATTTTTGATGCCATGGTGGCTCTTCCTTTAGTAATTGATCTACTCTTTTTGAATCTGAGTAGTTTTGTTTGCACACACTTACTGTGTGTGTGCTTTCCGTTATAAACAATGTTTGACATGAATTAAATGATACACTGTCATACTGTCTTTCCTAATCAGCGAGCAAATGTACCTCACACAATGCTAACGGTCTGATACGCGTGCACATCTCCTGTGTATATGTGTGTGCATTATGTGCGGTTGTGACATCAATAATTATGCAACAGTGTTCACACAGTCATTTCCATGGTGGAGTGGACATTTAAATATATACAGTATATTTTTCAGTCAGACTGTAAATGTATTTGCTGCGCAGTGTGAGTGTCACTGAGCTGTTGTTACTCTAGAGCCTGATCGTGTGAGTGGAGCTGGAGAGTGTGTTAAAGGTGGCTTTAAAGCTGCAGAGACACTGATGATGCGTGACTTATGACATCCAACAGCCCCCTCTCAAAGTGTACTTTACTGGTGCGAGGTGGTCCTGTTGACCCTCCTCATGTCATGGTTAACACCTCTGCTGCTCTTCCTGGCTCTCCACCAGGACAACCACTCCCACTCTGCCATCTGTGTGTCGACATAGTACATGAGCTGTCTGTTTATTACAAAATAAAGTTGAAACCTTGCTAACAGCAAAACAATATGGGGCATTTCTGGGCCGTGCTAAGATAGTATAATGTTACACACGCACACACACACACGAATATTTTCATTCCTTCATTAATGTTAATGACGCTCTGAGTTCAAAGAGGAACAGCTCCAGGGGCTTCACAGCCATGATGTCACATCCTGTGAGGTGCAGGGAGCAACGAGAGATGAAGGAAGAGCAGGTGAATTATCTCAAAAGCTAACAGTCTAAAGTAGAAACAGAAAAGGCTAACTGAAGTTTCATTGTGAGTGTGTGACATACAGAGTTGGGTGTAACGCGTTACAAAGTAACGCGTTACTGTAATAATATTACTTTTGTCGGTAACGGAGTAGTGTAACGCGTTACTTTTATAATTCAGTAATCACACTACAGTTACTAACATTGCCCCGACACGCGTTACTTCGTTACTTTTATAAAATCAGTCATAATCACACTGACAGACAAGAGGGGTTTCCACCGCAGGTTTATATGTACGTAATCTGCGCGACTTGCACGTCCACATCTCCACGTGCAGTGCTCCATAAACATGGCAGAGTCAGCGATAACTTTCGAGGGGTGGAGGTATGCCCATTATTTTGAGTTTGTCCGAAGAATAGACAGGAATGTGACGGTGAGAAGCTGTTATCCACTGCTGCAAACACCACGTCAAACCTCAACAAACACCTGCAAAGAACACATGCTATGGTGAAGCTAATAGCTAAGGACCCCCGAACCCAGAGTGAGGATGTTGTGAGTCGCCGCCGCCGACTCCGAAGCAGCACAAATTAGAATTTGGAGGACCGGTAACCAAAGCAGAGATGGACAGGCTTGTAGCATCCTTCATAGTAGAGGTAATGTTGCCCATTTGCACAGTGGAATCACCATCGCATCGTTCAGAGATATACTGCGCAAAATACAGATAGCAGGAGACAGAGGACAGCCATGGTCAGAGCTATCTGGATCAGTCTTAAGTTCTGTTCTTCCATCATTATTAGAGCGTACTACTATTATCTATAGTCTATTATTATAGTTTGGTATGGTTCTTGCCTTTCTACAATTCTCAGTTATGGATCCCTTCACAGTGTCTGTTAGTTAAATTGAACATGTTTGGCATTGTTTGGATAACTGTGTTCATATTCTACAACTTAAAGCTGAATTAAAGTTATTTCAATTATTTCAAATACAAGTATTGCGGTATCTTTCCAATCTAACCAATTCAGCTTCCTCAAAAACATCAAAGTGGATTGAAGTCTGGAAACTGAATTAAAGAGAACATTTGAAACTTTAGCAGTCTGCGTGATCTGCCTGTAGGGACGGGCGGGCCGGCCCTGCGAGTAAAGTAACGAGTAAAGTAACGAGTTACTTTATGTAGAGAGTAACGAAGTAGTGTAATATATTACTTTTTTTTAAAGTAATATGTAATATGTAATATATTACTTTTTTTTAGTAACGACCCCATCTCTGGTGACATAGCAGGCAGTTACTGATGAACTCAGCTAATGTAAGGATACTTTCCTCATGTTCCCAATAACCCAGCTTCCCCCACATTTATTTTTGGTGTCTATCTACGCCGGGATCCTGAGTCGTGTCTGATCCTGTTGCTGTGGTCCTGTGTCCTGGATCCTGAGTCATGTGTCCTGGATCCTGAGTCCTGGATCCTGAGTCCTCTATCCTGAGTTCTGGATTGAGTCCTGGACTTTGAGTCGTGGCTGAACCTGTAGCTGTGGTCCTGCGTCCTGGATCCTCTATCCTGAGTCCTGGATCTGAGTCCTGGACTTCGAGTCTTGTCTGAACCTGTAGCTGTGGTCCTGCGTCCTGGATCCTCTATCCTGAGTTCTGGATTGAGTCCTGGACTTCGAGTCTTGTCTGATCCTGTTGCTGTGGTCCTGTGTCCTGGATCCTCTATCCTGAGTTCTGGACTGAGTCCTGGACTTCGAGTCGTGTCTGATCCTGTTGCTGTGGTCCTGTGTCCTGGATCCTCTATCCTGAGTTCTGGACTGAGTCCTGGACTTCGAGTCTTGTCTGATCCTGTTGCTGTGGTCCTGTGTCCTGGATCCTCTATCCTGAGTTCTGGACTGAGTCCTGGACTTCGAGTCTTGTCTGATCCTGTTGCTGTGGTCCTGAGTCCTGGATCCTCTATCCTGAGTTCTGGACTGAGTCCTGGACTTTGAGTCGTGTCTGATCCTGTCTCTGCGGTCCTGCCTGACTCTCATCATACTACTTCCCTGATGGCTCCCACAGGATTGTTGACATCCTCGTGGATTCATCTTATTATTATAGACACATGCATTTCCAAACATTTGGTCTACCTATGCTGTAAAATGTATTATCTCTTTGATTTACACACGGCATCTATTGCACGTCTATCCGTCCTGGGAGAGGGATCCCTCCTCTGTTGCTCTCCCTGAGGTTTCTCCCATGTTCCCCTTTAAACTGTGGGGTTTCTCTGGAAGTGTTTCCTTGTACGATGTGAGGGTCTAAGGACAGAGGGTCTAAGGACAGAGGGTCTAAGGACAGAGGGTCTAAGGACAGAGGGTCGTATTGTCACTGATATTCTGTACAAACTGTGAAGTCCACTGAGACTAATGTAACATTTGTGATATTGGGCTATATAAATAAACATTGATTGATTGGTTGACTGTGTGTTGTCGAATAACGCATTATGACATTATGACACACTTAACACTTTTGGCTGTAGTTACAGCCATTCATCTTTACTCTTTCACTAACTTCACTGGCTTTCTGCAGCTTGCCTTTTTGGCCTCGAATAATAAAGTCAGCTGTTTCCAAATTGTCAAATGATGATAAATCCTGTTAAAAAAATATGCATGAATATGCTGTGAAAATGAGCGAGGGGGGACGCTGGGACACTAACTCTATAAACCCAAGTGGGTCAATCATGGTTCGGTTAAAGAGCAGGAAAATATTTCTCTCACAGTGCATCTCGAGATTAATTTATTGGCAAAATAAGTTATTGAGGAACTGTTGTTGTGATCTTTTAAAACATGACATGTCACTTGTTAGACGCTTTTATCCAAAGCGATTTACATACTCAATAGAGTGGACAATCACCACAGGAGCAATTTGGGGTGAAGTGTCTCAGGGACACAATGACATGCTGACTGCAGTGGGGTTTGAACCTGTGCCCCCCTGATCCGAACACATACGCACTAGACCCCAAAACCACAGTATTTTACTAATTGGCTGCTGAAATATTTTCCATACAAGCAATTATGGTAACTATATGTTATGTATCAAACATATGCAAGTTTATATTTTTATATTTTGTAGAGGTTAACATCTAGGAACAAATGTTTTGAAATAGAGAGTTAATGCTCCCACAGCTGGCACAGTGTGAGAGGGGGTCCATGCTCTGACACTGGAACCCCCTCTCCCCCTTTCCCAGACCCTGCTGCCTTTTTATAGGAATTGCTAACCGAGTCGTCACCCTAGCAAAACAGCCGTACATGCGCGGGGGTCTGCACACTGCTAAAAGGAGAGAGTGTGGGAAGCAGAAGAGCAGATGTGAACAGGTGTGCACACATCACCTATTCAGCATTGATTCAGGAACAACTGTCAGTCCGCTGAACCCAACCAGGTTAAACTGGTTCATTTTCCAGGGAGATTATTTTCAGGAAAGAAGCACACTTTTGCCACTGCATGGTACAACAACAGACCATAGCTTGAATATTCAGCAGTCTCACACTGCCTTAATCATGTGCTTACTTGACAAGTAAGCACTACATGTTTTATTAGCACTGCTGTCCTCTCTCCCCTGTGAGTGTGCTACTTATAATATATAAATATATATTATATATAGGTTTATCTCTGACAATTTTGCCTCCTGTTCAAAGACTATGGCTCCTATCAAAGAAAGGACCTGACAGTAAGCATCAGGGGACCCTGAGGAAAACATCTGTGCGTTTTTTTGTATTTTGTGTGTAAAATGTGGAGATGGCAGC